GACCGCTATATGTTCCACAGCCGTGTCTGCATTCGATTACGAGCTTTGAAGCCGCTGGGTGCAGTTCACCACAGCCCCATGTGTTTTATAGCAACAGATTCATCTTTGACTCACTCACCACTGTGATTCAGACCAAAACGCTGTCTGTTCATGCCGTTTGATCTCAAATATTTATCTATGAGGCTCTACAGTGCCCAACAGCTCTCTTTCAAATCCAGTAGTCATGTTAAAACTGCTCTAGATCACAGGACTGGCGCCTTAATAACAATCAGGGGCAGAAGAAGTAGTCAGATTTACAGCTGCAGTGATTAGTCGATTAATCAGAAAGTGTGCAAATGGTAATATTTTCTGGTTTTCTTACTCTTCTATGGGACTAAACTGAATACCTTTGGGTTTTAGAATTAAAAAAAAGACATCTGAGGAAAGCACTTTGGACTCTGGGAACTTAACAGGCATTTTCAATGTGAGCCTACAGTTGATGTTTGGATGTAAAATCTTTACAGCACAAATAACTACAGCTATCTCATACATGTAGTAGTGTCTAAAAGTCAACATTTCACTGTTAAATGTTGTGGAATAGAAGTAGATAGACTCTACAATCGTACTTTCCATCTCTGAAATGGCAAAGTCCTTTGAAATTTAACTTCAGCTATTATTTCAAAGCCATGACCAATCAGTTTTTATGATGCCTGAAGCTTTTATAATGCAGACTTTAGGTCTCTGCATGGTGATGATAGCCCAAACTACAATTGAACAATTGTTTTGTTGCAGTCTCGAAACAAATCTGCATCTCATTGAGACTACTTGACGAAATCCAGGGTTCATTCATCCATCTGAGTCCTGCAGTATAGCGTTTCCCCTTCATGTCCCCTGCCTGTATTATGTCAACACATTAACAGCAGTGTGGTCAGCCTGTTAGCCCTCAGATCTCCCTCTCATACATTACAAAGGCCTCTATCTCTGTTTTACGATTCACAGACAGGCTGGATCAAAGAACTAGTGGAAACCAGTCACATTTCAGGGGGTTTACAGCTTGCTTGCAGTTGCAGCAGGAGACGAGGGAAACCTTAATGCATGCCCAACTATTATTATTAGCCAGATAATGTGCATTTGAGCTGTTCTGATCTTAAATTATCAGCATGGATTTGACATGAAAAAGACATATTTCCCCTGCATGTGACCCTTCAGCAGCTAATAAATCACACAAACACAATGTATCAATGATTTCAATTCAAAGTATGCCTACTATATAGCAGCCTGTTTATTCTCCTGTCTTATGGAGTTGACTTAGATTTTCACAAAATAACATAATGTAAGGACATTTTTTATTCACTTTCTGAAAAGTTTGGACCCACATGAACACTAAATATTGAAGCACGTGTTCTTACATACACAAAAGTAGTGTTTTTGTTGCTTTATTTAAGGTCAGATCTAATTTCTATGATTTTAACTGTATAAAAACCTGTAATTGTTCTGATCTCTGTAGTTTTCCTCCAAAATAATTCAGCTGAATCGTTTAGAAGTATCATGCATCCTCTAATACTCCGCCACTGGCTCACCTGTTGCATGTTTCTGGAGATCCAGGTGTCCAGCAGGAGCTCCAGTCTCTGCCGGTGATATCTCCCGGTGGTTTTCACCGCTATGAACAGGTCGCCCGGGGAGAGATGCTCCACCGGCCCGGGGGGAGCGCTTCTCCGCGGGGGGCCGCTTATCGCTCTCCTCTCCCGGGT